TAGCAGTGAAGGTGGAGCGTTACAGGTTTATTAAGATGACAGCGTTTTTTGCAACAGTTGCCCCCTGGAGGAGAAAGAATAGAAATTTGCCCCAGATGGGGAAGGCAGTTCAAGTGTTACTCACACGGTGTCTTTCATAGCAGTGAAGGTGGAGCGTTACAGGTTTATTAAGATGACAGCGTTTTTTGCAACAGTTGCCCCTGGAGGAGTTTTAGTTAGGAACTTTAGCTGAGGACACCCATGGCAACGAAAAAGCAAGCAGCGCTGCATATGTCGGACGGAATCTTATTATCTAAAACATTAAGTTCTTGTTAGCGCTTCTGCCGTTGTTATCAGTGGTATGACATTAATGGACTGATTAGATTTGATTTGAAGATACTGTAATACTAAAATAACAATGTTTAGCTGAGCAGAGATACGAGGCGTATATTGCGTCATTAAAGAAAATCTGTTGAGGGGATTCTGGTTGCAAAGAAAACAAAACTTCTGGCCTGCAATTCAAATCAGCAGTTTTATTTGTCAGTTGTTAGAGTTAATAAAAAAATTCAGCCCAAAGTGTGGAAAAGATGCTAGTTGTGAGCCATGATAATCACTGTTCACGTCAATTCCCTATCCACACTATTTCAGCATCCATGCCATTCCTTATTTTTTAAGTCGGGATCATTTACGGTTCGGTGTGGGGATCATTTGCGGTGTGGGGATCATTTGCGGTGTGGGGATCATTCGCGGTGTGGGGATCCTTTGTGGTCCAGGATCATTAATTTTTGTGGTCCAATTTGGGGATCATTTGCGGTCCTAGGATCATTTGTGGACCCGTAGTACACATCCAGGCTTTTTTGAAAGTCTACAAATACATTTGAATGGTTTCAAAATACTGTCTCTTATTATTTCTTATTACCAGTAGTTTTAATTTAACCTTTTGATTCCCATGAGTGACCAAGACAAAATTTCTTCTAACACTATCAAAACAAAATCACGCCCACAAGTGAAGAGAATAAAGTGAAAGATCAATTGATGGATTATTTGTTCATCCAATGCAAAATTCTCTGAACTAACAACTTAAGAATTGAATGTCAGACAGTAAGGACAATTAGGGACACTTAATCCAGGAAACTTCTATGAAAATTAATGAACATACACATACCTGGCTTGTTGGTATCTTCAGGATCATAGTCCAACCATTCAATAGTGAGAGGAAATGCCTCAAGTATAATATCATGATGAACATACTGGCTTCCCTCCTCCTCATTATAAACTGGAAGAAAACAGATTTACTCAAATCAAAAACACTCCTAAAGGATAAATAGCTGCATGGGGCTGATTTAATAAACATTGAATGGGTGTGTCAACCAAGAAAATGATGAATGAACAAATAAACAATTATTGCAGAAATGAAGAAATGAATGCTGAAAAAATATAATAATTATAAAAGACCAAAGAAAAGAAATTGAAAGAAGAAAACAATCAAAGGAAATATGGCATCAACAAATAGAATTATTTGGTTAAAAATTGTAAAATTTAATTTGGAGAATAATAAGAAACAGACCTAACTTAGAAGAAACAGTAGACACATTTCTTGTTAAAACAGTTATCACCTGATATTTCTAAAGAACTGAAGTCTTCATCCACATGACCAGCAACTAATAAATTATCATCTGGTTTTATTTTAAAATCTTCTTCTTCATCTTCATCCTGATCCTTTGAATGAAACAGAGCGGGTTATCTTATCAATACTTCTAAAAATCAAACTTCTTTCTTTAACAAAACATCATTTCATTAGTACTAAAGTGTTCATGTACCACAAAGGCTTAAAAAGTCAATGTGTTAAACCACACCACCTGACAGGATTTAGTGCATGTTCTTTACTCATATCACTTGCCCTGATCAGGATACTCAAGTTACTCATTAAGCTTTCACTACTTTAGTTTCCTCAAATACAAGTTTAAAAGAAACATAACTGCATCTTTGGTGATGCTGTATGTTTTATTCCAAAACTGAAGTTACTTTAGTAAGTTAGCCATCACAAAGATGTCAACAATTTGTGCAAGTGTTATTACCTTTTTTTTGAGGACAAACACATGAAAGCAACTAAAATGAAGTGTGTATTTGTATAACAATTACTGGTAGCCACCACTACATACAGATGGACTTATTATCATGATTCCTAAGATTTTACTTGGAAAATCTATCAATTGAGTCTCTATGCCTATAAAAAACACTATCCCAACAACTGCGTACATAAAGTGAGAACTTATCACTGAAATTAATTTAATAAAATAATGTCACAACCAGTTGTAGAATTTTGACTCACTGGATTTGCTAGAGTAATATACGGATCATCTTTGTTTGAAGCAAAGTATGTCACACCAGCCATTCCTGCTCCAGACATTAACTCTCCTTAAAAAAAAAAAAAAAAACATGAAATAATATGAATGTCAGTCATTGTTATATAATCAGTAGCTTATTGAGACTAAATCTTAAAATTATTTATCGATTCTCCTGAAATGTAAAAAAGCAAATGCTATCTTGGAGCAGAAAAAGCATTCTGTGACCTTTGTTATTTACCTTCCACATCTTCATCACTATCATAATGTGCAAGATCATACAAGTCTGAAATTTCTTCATCATCATCATCATTATCATCATCATCTCTGCTTTTCTTTGTTTTTCGTTTTGCCTTACTAACGTCTTCATCCAGTTCCACACCACTGCTTTCAGCCCCATTCTCTTCTGCTTCTTTTTGTCTGAGGATCAAAAAAGTTCATTTGATATATTGATCTTGAGACGCACTTGAGATCTCATAATAAATAATTAAAAATAACAACTTTCTAGATGCAGTAATACAAATATGAAACATATGTCTTGTGATAATTCTTCAGTTTGTAATTTAATTGTCACTGAAGATTGCTGATGTAGGGAAAAGCAAAAACTGTAGGTCTCATTAAACCTTTAAAGATTGTATTAGAAGTACCTCAACTTCTCTTTGGCTTCATCTATGATCTCTTGGATTTCTTCTTTGGACAAGGCAACCTGACAAACAAATATAATAGATCATGATGTTGAACTTTTTAACCCAGTACATACCCTTCAAGTCCACCAATGGCAATGAATATTGGCATTTGGTTATTTTGCCATATATAAATAAAGCACAAGTTAGAATGGCTGTTTATAAAAATGGGTAATAGTACATGTAATAATGAAAGGTTGACATGTGGAGAGAGATGAATATTAAAGGTACCCTTAACATGGGAAACAGCCTTGTTTTCCCTCAACCCTCGGTGCCTCCTAAAGCCTTTACCTTGGGGAATATTGAGTGTGTCAGGGAAACAAAGCATGCCCTTTCCCTTAAGGCTTTTCAGGTTATTTACAATCATCTATTGTAATAACCTGATGATTGTAAATAACCTGAAAAGCCTTAAGGGAAAGGGCATGCTTTGTTTCCCTGACACACTCAATATTCCCCAAGGTAAAGGCTTTAGGAGGCACCGAGGGTTGAGGGAAAACAAGACTGTTTCCCATGTGACCAGGAATTAAGTGCTTTGTTACACCCCTCAACTCAAAAAGAAAACACTGACTGCATGAAAAAAAAAAAAAATTTTTTTTAGTAATGTTGTGCTCTGATTGGCCAATTTGCCATTGTCAATAAGGGTGAAGACAAGGCTGCTTATATCAATATCTCACAATGTGTCACACCCTGAAATAATTATTTTTTTTTATGAATGTTTATATTTTGCTACAAAACAAATCAACAGAGATTTAGTGTGGTCTGAAGTCTAAGTGACAACAACACTCATCATCACACTGGTTAAAATTTGTTGTGGATTCATGCAGCTGCGCCTGGTGCGTCCACAACATTTTGAGCACAGTGATGATGAACATCATTGTTAACAAGGGTACAGACCACACTATACCACTAGACCACCACTATACCGCTCATAAATTTGCCGCAGTTTCAAGATACACTACCTCTTCACAAGCGAATCAAAAGTTAACTGATGTTCCCCTATGCATTCAATGAGTTCCGATCTATGGAACATGAACCACCCTCCTCTAATCGGAAAACGTACTGGAGTTGAGAGGTATAACAAAATGAACTTAACCACATATACGTGTACATTTGAGCATTGACTGGTTAAAGTTAACAGAGTTCTACGGTTTGTGAATGGGGAAACCGAATATGTGCATATTCAGGAAAGTACATCAGGGCAATATAAACAATGAGTAGTTTCTCGTTAAAGTGATTTACCAGTAATAATGACCACAACCTTTTTCACAACGTGTCCAGCTGTTAACACTTCGGCAAATGAAGCCAATGTAATTTACAGATCTATGCTGATGCCTACCTTATCAGGGACTGCTTTCGCAACTCCTCTCCTAATCCAGCCCACACAAGTTATCATTTTTCGATCAACGTGGATTTTTCCGGTAAACTTATCAATCAAAGCATATTTGAGGAAGTTCTACTTTGAAATTTGATGGACACATTTTACCTTAGCCGTTTCTTGCAAGGATTCACGCGCTAGTGAATGTGAAGGATTGAGTACTAATAGATATGGCTGCTGACCAAAATGATCGCTGAAGACGAATGTTGTAATTAATAGACGAGTGTTGGGAGGGTGGGGAGAATTGGGATTGAGAAATTAGCTTTTCTAAAATAGATTTAGACAGAATTCTTTTCTATAAGGAAATATACAGGATTCTGATCTATGTGTTCTGAACTTATGAAAGAAATAGTACTTTTCTTCAATATTTGAGTCTTCTTTTCCACTTTTGCGGTGATGTGCATTATTTCCCACAGGGTGCAGTAGAGATGAGCTAGGGCTAATTGTCCTTCCATGAATAAGGAAATTTATAGAAATATCTCAACAAGAAGAAAGTCATATTTGAGTTTTTTATGCTTCTGCTGTTTCTTCGTCAGCTTTGATCTCTTTTTGGTATGTTTCCAATCACATAAAATTAGTAGAACTCGTTGCGTGACTTTTTCGACACCCACCCTCAAATATAGCGTGACCCTATTTTATCTCTTGGTTTCCAACAGCCCTCCCAAGTTAGATATTCCTTTGAAAACTCAATATTTCTTTCCAAGGAGAATGGAGACCATTTCAGGGATACCTCTGGTCGACTTTGCCGCCATGAGCGTTGAGCACGACACCATATCATCTTATTCAGATGAACAAGTGCAAAAGATTGCGAAGCAGATCCACCAAGCTTTCAGCTCTGTTGGCTTTGTTTACCTAAAAAATCATGGAATCTCGGAAGACACGGTGAGGAAGCACTTCTTAAGGGTTTAATTTTAGCTATAATGTTGTTGTATTGGAAATATTTCAAAGGAAAAGAAAATGATAATGCATTAATCGTGAGAAGGAAATAAAAAACAAGAACTGGACACAGACTGTTCCGGTTTGCAGATCAGATAATTATTGAGAAAGCCAATTCATGTTCCTTTTACCTTTAAAACCGAAGAATTGCACTGATATGGATTAATGAAAACAGGTTTCCCTAAATGATCGTTTAAGCGTGGAACCCTCAGGTTTAAACTTAACGGCACACCACAAATTTTAGGTTGTTATTATACTTCTTTCCCCGAATAGGTCGAAGGAACGTTTGGTGTTATGGACAAATTCTTCACACTTAGTAAAAACCTCAAGAAAAAGTACGGAAAGAAGGACGAGTTAGATTCAAATGGATGGGAAGCTTTGGAAAGAGAAATGTAATACAAATGTTTTACAAATTGAAGATCATCAAGTTAACACCTGTTTTGCAGCCAGATGTAGTTCCCAATCCTTAAGGGGGGGAATGGGGTGGGGTAGGAATCTTTTTAAGTGGGGGTTGCTTTTTTTTAAAGAACATTGAGCTAAAAATTTGAATATTTACGTGACGCCAGGTAAGGAAACAATACCCTGAAAAGCAGTCTTAAATAAAAAATGCATGCACTCCCAGACACATTACAAATCTGAGGGACCAGGAAGTCAGCAGCCAGCTATTTTTATTTATGATATGGCCTAAATTTTTATAAGTTAGTTCAAATCCTCTCCATTCCATACACATATCTTTAATTTGTAAGTCATCTATTGTTCCAATTGATTGCAAAATTATTTTAATAATTAGATGAAAGATTCAGTCAGCTCTTATATCTTGTTTATTTGTAATCTATATCTGTCAACTTGACTTCTTACTAGCACTGACCCAACAAAGCCAGGTGACCTAAAGGAATCTTTTGATATCAGCGCTTTTGATGACAAGAAATTTGTAAGTACAGCCTTCTGATATTTGATTCATTAATGGTATAATTTTGACCAAACATGCAGTATCAATAAAATCAGTTTTTCTGAAAATTTACTACCAGTAATTTAAAAGCAATCAGAATTCCAGGTTATTAAAATTTTCTTTGGAAAAGTGAAGTTAACATTTGAGATATAAATCAGATGAAGTTTCAGTTTCAAATTTTTTTTTTTTTTCTGTTAAAGCGCTGGCCAGTAGAGGTACCTGAGCTCCAAACAACAGTTAAGAGCCTTTTTGATCTTCTTAGTCGTCTTGGGGATAGGGTGCTAAGTGCAATGGCTATTGGTCTTGGACTGGTAAGTACATTTACTTTCAAATAAGCTATATAATTGAATATTAGATTTTATCAAAAACATGTTGTGCTTCTGATTTCACCAAAGAAACAAATTAATTAAAAGCGTATGATTTTCTCCCATACTAAGACAAATAACTAGAAGTCAAATGAGAAATAACAGACATCCAGTCATGAGACTGAAAGATGATAGCAAAGCAAAAGGTCATTCTTAATCCTTAACTGTAGAGCCATCTGCGAGGAAAGTCCAAATATTATGTGCACTTCAGTAATTTTGGGACTGGTGCATTCTTTTGATTGATAATTTTTGAGTGACTGGACTGAGGGAGTAACAGTTTCTTCTCCTTCTGTAGAGAGACTGCTGGGCCTCTGGGTTAATGATTCACCCTGACAAAATTGAGAACAAAATGTTAGAAATGTAATGTTATTGTTTCTCTTGAAATATCTCACCAAACTCCATGTAAATAATTTAAGCCTGCAGATGTCTTCAAGAGTTATTACAAAGATGTTGGAACACTCAATGGCACAGCTCTCTTGCGCTTCAATTATTACCCAAGAATAACTGACATCGAACACATCAAGCCTGGTCAAATACGATGTGGAGAACACACTGACTATGGTGGAATAACTCTTCTTTTCCAAGATGATGCAGGAGGACTGGAGGTGAAATATTTGCTTCAGCTCATTCTAAATTTGTTTGGACTAACAGAGAGTACTCTAACTTGTCGCAATGTTAATTTTGATGTTCACATTAGTACTTGTCACTGTTGTTGTATTTCAATTCCAATCAATAGGTTGTCAACAGAGAGAAGATGTTTGTCCCAGCGACTCCAATTCAGGGTACAATACTTGTAAACATTGCAGACTTGATGCAAAGGTGGACGGCAGATAAATTTGTGTCAACGGTAATAGACTAGTAAATACAGTGCAGTAATTAATTATTTTAGTCTGTATAGCTTGAACTATTATTTCTTCGGGAAAAAGAATATTCAAGGTGTATATGCATAGGAATGTTTTGTTAAAGGATTCAATCTAAAGCTTCTGAAAAGAATCTCTTTATCATGGAACTTCTTCCTTACCCCTAAAGGTGTAACCAGGTGGATTTCATCTTGGTTTCAAAATGTAGCTTTTTAAATTTAACGTACGATAGGTTAAATTCAATGTGAGTCATAAGCATAAGTGGAGGTTACAATTATTTGGAGTAACATTGAGTTGCATCTGAACCTGGAGAGATGACCTCTTCCAGCAAGGTCAGTCTCCTGATAAAAATATAATTGTTTACAATCCTTTCCAATTTTACAGGTTCACAGAGTCATAATTCCAGAGGAGGAGCTCAAGCGAAGCACCCCTAGACGTTCTGTTGCATTCTTTTATGATCCTGACTGGAATGCTAAGATTACTTGCTTGGATGGTTCAAACAAATACCCAAAAATCAAATGTGGCAAATATGTCTCACAACTCATGAAAGGCAGTTTCAGCTTCTAAGCATTTTGAAGGAAAACTGTGTAATCATAATTGGCAAGTAAAGGGATAACTAGGAAAACAGATGTTTTCAAGTTTGCACTTATATGAAGGAATTAAAAGCCTTGCCACCTTTTAAATTACAAACATACTTGTCAAAAAATATCCAAATCAGAGTACATTACTTTAGTTTCCAGTGAATTCCTTCATACAACTGCATATCATAAACACTAATTTAGCTCAAATCCTAGTTAGCAATGTGAACTTTCCTGTAATCAATTATACAAAACAACAAACGTATCCATTAAGAAATACCATTTCAAAATTTACATTTAAATTTAAACTCCTGAAGAAAAGCAATAGTACATGACTTGTATAAATACCGACAGTTGTATTCAAAACACCAGTTGAAAAAAATATTTTTCAACAAAGAGTGAGTATTTCCAAACACTGCAAATATTTTTACCTTGTATATCCATAACTAATAAATTCAACCTTGAATAGTGATCTTTGCAGTAATGAACATTTTAAAAATAAGGCCTGAAAAATAATCAGGTCTGAACAGGATTTGAATCCATTGACTTCTACCACACCAGTGCAGTGCTCTACAAACTGAGCCAACAGGCAAACTGGGAGCTGGTCATTTTGGGTTCATAATAAACCAGTGAGATGACAAATGAATGACTGTGAATATATGAAAATCACATATGTGAACAGCAGATTAAGAAATGATTGTAAGGTTATTGAAAACAAACATCTTCTGAAGAGCAAGTATATATATTGTACACTTGATTTAAACAGACTTATTTTGAAATTGACACCATTATGTGTTCACTCTCTGGGCCAGTAAAAATCAAACTAAAAATCATGTACATGTCCAAGTTTATGGTGCTCTCCTTTTGAGACAAATAAGCTCCATAAGATGTGCCCGACTTTTTCCATTTGAGACAGGGAAAACAATGTGTAACTTCCTTGTCTTCCTCAATCACAAATCACATGGTAATTCATACTCTCACAGGAAAGGAAGCAACAAAAACCCTGTAGACATAAGCAAGATAAGAGTTTAGTCTACCTTACTAGAACGATGCTTCTCTTACTTCTGATTACAAACTAAAATTATATCAAATGGAAAAACCCAGAAGGATTGCCTGAAACCCAGTTGATATACCAAGCAAATTACCAGACCAAATGATATATTTAAACCAGCTTCCACTCACAGATCTCAAAATCAGTTCTCCTCACCACCATACATTTATTTCCTACACAATTTACCCTCTCGCTAATAATTTTCCGTTAGATACTTTTCTTTCTCCTCTTCACTTGTCCGTTTGACAGTGATAAAATTGTGAGAAAAATTATCTCACTTGTTGGTGCTTAGTGACCACAGGTTTAATCACCCGAGTATGTTGTTCCAGAACAATTCCATGCTCCGCTCACTCCAAAGATTTTGGCTGATACTGTTGGATGCTCCCTCTTATCATGGAAGGGCATGGACATTGTCTGGAAATGCTTGGAAAGATAATTATAAAAGAGTGAAATTTACATTGATTGCATAATTTGTATCAAAAAAATTTCAGGATTGGGTGTTAAACCACTAAACTCTCCAGATCTTTCCTTCTTATTCTAATAGACTTCTTTATTAGCTGGTTGTGATAACTTTTCTTGGAACAACTTTATGGTTTCATGTCTTATGACATAATTTGCCTCTTTGACCAGTAACCTAATGACTTAATCTCTGTTAGTACTTCTAAAGGTATCACAAACAATTTTCTCAAGTAAATCACATGTATTCATTCTTCAGCACCACAGCACTGTTCTGTAACTTAGATCTTAGCAACCTTACTAATTACATTTAATTGTACAAACATCTTCAGATCTACTATATTGGCTGAATGAAATTAACTACGGACTCCAGCTCCCCATCTCGATGTAAACACAGTTTCAAACTTTATGGCGGTTTTGCGGTTTCGGTTTTAGTTCTCAAAAGGGATTTACATTGTCCAAGACAAAATTTCCTGTTTCTTGAATCGTCGACGTAATTCCAATGCTTCCATCAACAACACCAATCAAAGTCCGCCGAAAACGTGTTCCATCGTAGCCTTCATATGCCTCTCCATGTCCAAAAACTGATCGAACACCGTGTCGAAGTCGTCAAAGCTCGTAAAGGCGAAAGGGTCGTGTGAGTTTGGAACGTTGTTCCGTGCTCGCCTCTGAGAACGACGACTTTGTCTTCGTTGCCGTTGTCTTCGGTTGCTCGGGGGGCTTTGGGAAAAGGAATATTCGTTTCCGTATAAATTCTCGGCAAATCTGTTATCGAAAGCGGCAGAGAATCGACCATCGTTGAAAACATCCGTTTCAAAGAAATCTGTATTCCGTCTCCTGTTTGACCTTCTTGAAGCGTTTCCAGTGTCAGTAAAGTCTTGATAACCGCCAAAAGATTGGAAAACCAAGTTGAAAATATCATGTATAGAAGACGAGCCAAAGAATTCCCTGAATACTTCTTCCGGGCTGCGGAAGTTTTGCGAGGAATTAAACATGTCGAAGACATCTGCAGCAAATTCGCCCCCTCCGTTCGTTGGCCCAGCGGACAGTCCTTCTTTGCCATATCTATCGTATATTTGACGTTTATCTTTGTTAGAGAGAATTTCATATGCCTCGGAAACCTGCTTAAATCTCTCCTCGGCCTGTTCTTTGTTGTTGGGATTTTTGTCCGGATGCCATCGCAACGCCTGCTTTCGATAACCTTTCTTTATGTCTTCTTCTGTGGCCGTTCTCGGGACCCCTAACACTTCATAGTAGTCGTCGGACATTGTGGAAACCAAATACGTGATAAGATTCAAACTACACTACGCTTTAAAGGCACTCGATGTTAAAAAAATGAACGAACGAATACACAGATATCGACTCGGAAGATTTGCGCGTGAAGAACCTCGAAGGGAACTGGCAACGTGATAAACTTGCCACCGTGACGTCACAATATGAAAGTTTCCAGAACCAAAATATTTTCGCTTTCGTGAAAAAATTGGAAATGTAAATATTCTTCTTGAAAATAAGAATTTTTTCCTAAAATGAAATAAAATATAATATGTCAGAGCGTAAACGCAACGAAAATGCGTGGCTTATGACGTATTACATCCGGGATAGTTGTTGTAGTTTTGTAAAGGAAAATAAGAAAATAGATTTTCTGAAACCGTCATTAATTTTGTTAAGCGTTACTTGTGGTAGTACTAGTAGTAGTAGTAGTAGTAGTAGTCTTCATTTAAAGAGGGTAGCACTTAATAGTTAAAAACTAATAAACTTGGGGCCCTCTACTACATATGAATGAAAATTACATATGAATGAAAATGTGGTTCTTGGGGCCTGATTACATGAGCCGGGCTGATTTCTTTTGCTTTCACGCTTTGGCGAACACCAAAACAAAAGAAATCAGCCCGGCTAACCGGGCCAGCCCGGCTCATGTAATCAGGCCCTTGGGGCACGGAACATGACCATTATTGACGAAACCATGTAAGTCTCCTTGTCCACAGCATCGACAACCCATGGCTTAAGGTCAGTCATGGACAAGCTTTTTAATTCAAACCTTCCTAATATTAGCCGTCTGTTTATCAGGAATGTAATCTTGATAATTTTTAAAATAGATATTGTTCTTTTCTATCAAATTTCCTCTCCCACCCCTCCCTAGATCCATATCGATTGCAGCATCGTTAGGTACATTATTTTGCATCAATGAACAAAGATTCTCAATAGAGGACCCTCTTTGCTTCCTGAAAACCGTCGAATGGAATCATAACCGCCACGGTGACCATATCTTTAACTGATTTCACCGGCATTTCTGGTCCATTAGTTGCTAATGAAACTCTTAAAACCTAGTTAGTGTTAGTTTTAACACAGCTGTGTATCTATGAGTGCCCTTCGAGGACAAATTGATGGAAAACGGCAACAGAGAAGAACATGTTGATGGTCGCGGAGTCGAAGATGACTCCACTGACAGTGAGCTAGAAGAGTTAAACGCTTACGTGCCTCTAGACATTCCTCCTCGAGATTTTTCAAGGCGTCTTGTTAGGAGCCATTCAGAACCACAGAAAACGTCTACGAGAAACAGAATGGAACATTCGTTACGGAAAGGTGCCTACTCGCCTCCTATTATTCAAAAACAACGAAACAAAGTTGTGACTCAGATTTTACCAAGAAATGCTCTGGGTGGCGACGCCGCCGATAAAATTACGCTGGTAGTGGACGATACACGTTTTGTCGTCGAAAGATCGCTCTTTACTGCTCATCCAAACACCATGTTGGGAAGGTTGGTATACTCTCATGTTGACATCTTTCCTTGCAATTAACATGAGTACACGACTTGTAAGTTTCGAGATTCATTGCAGGACTCAGCTATGCAAGTAATCTTTTGCCCAGTTTTTAAAGCTATCGTGATTTCCGTTTTCTCTTTATAATCAAACGAACACAATGGTTTGAATTTTCGTAAATGTTACTTTGTTTCGTTGATGATGTCTTGCTGGTGTTCATAACAGAAAGCTCAAATGAGCCGATCTAAAATTTACTTAAGTTTCAATAAATGCTTTTCTTTCGAACGCTGATCTTAAAGTTTGGAATGCGTAATTCACAGGAAGTGAAGAAAATAAACTTTTAATATTTCTATTCGTGGGGAAATTTGTATAAATTTGGGGTTCATATTTTCAGCTCAAGATTGTGTAGATCATAATATTCAATTACCTAATAAACTAGTATACTAACTAGAGAACTGGGCTGTTATTAAGGCCCTCTTTCAAGATAAGGGATGTTTTACATGTCTCGTCAACACTTTTGGGCATCTTAATCCGTTGGCTTTGAGCTTTTTTTCATTGAATATTCTCTAAAACGTTACTTATGACTTAATTGTTATGAAGTATAGCAATTCTAAGATGGCAACACCACATGTTCCTATTATAGCTGGCAGCCTGTGAGGGCAAGATGAAGTGAATCCTGTATTCTTATTGGCTACCTGAGTGGGCAAGATGGGCTCATCTTACCACCCACTTTAATCCTACACATGAAAAAAAGTTGTACAATGGTGGAAACAGCAGGGAAAGACAGTTATATGGAAAAATTAAACAACCCTCTTGGTTTAATGTGCTATAAACAGAGTTGGCTTTCTTTTTTCGGCTCTCAAAGTAATGAAGTCATTCATGGTCCCTGTTAAGCGAAATATTTTTGCTATATAATAAGTTATTTATTGACCAAGCTTGTTTGGTCAAGATGGCTGGATATTAACTTCTTTCTTTTTTTGCGTTTTTTTTTTTTTTTGGAGCTCAACTTTGTCTCGGTCCATATAAAAATGCAAATAAAAAACTTGGCAAATATCCAGCCATCATGACTTCACACTCAGGCATACATATTGACACCCTAATTAGGAGAAAATGCAGTTCCTCCTAATATTGCCAGTTTGAAGAGATATTTGTGTCTCAAAGCTGCAATTGCACTTGTTTGTGTACAGTATTAATCTAGCCACTACAGGGATATTAAAATCTGTAAACAATCAGCTCATGAATGCATGATTGCAAAATTTATTGTTTAAACTGGAATTTCCTCAAGTATATTGTGCAAAGCATAGCTAAAGGATTCAAAACATAACATTTCAATTATTATTTGTGCTATTTCATGTCAAAAATTAGTCAAAGATCATGCTTCTCACAAGCCTTCTCAGTTTAACAAGAAAACTCTGGGAAGGAGCTTGTTTCATATCTTTTGAGTGCCTTCAGAAAATTTCTTGTATCTTTGGTTGTGAATAAGTCCTGTACCAAATATCTGGTATTTTTAGGATAAAAAATGTCATTCCTTTGTTTGAAAAAAATGTTGGTATTGCATAATGATATTGTACTGATTGATACGTGAAAGTCATGGACATTCACATTAACTGGGTACGTAAATGCTTTTGCAGAATGTTTGGTTCAACAATGGAATACACAACCCGAAATGAGAAAGGGGAATATGAAGTTGCAAGAGGCATATCTGCAAATGTCTTCAAGTGTATACTGGTAAGATGCTATTTTTTGCAAGGTGCTGCTGAGAAGTTAATTAATCATTAGCACTGATTAATGTGTAAAGAGTAGATAATAATTAACATCATGAAAGGGAACATTAACAAAGATTTAGTAATACATAGACAGGTAAAAACGAACGACATAAAATCCCGACGTTTCGGCGACTTCATGACGCCATTATTAAGGGTACAAATGAAAATAAAATTAACAAATGCGAGTTCAAGACTTACAACTAATTGGCCAAGACCTTAAAGAATGTGAAACCAAACCCCAGCTGGTTAATCAACAGTGCATAGTGTACCAATTTAAATGTAACCTGTGCGATACAGGGAGCTATGTTGGTTACACACGTGGGCATTTATATGCCCGCGTGGATAGCCATAAGAGCATGTCATCTTCAGTACGCAAGCACTACGACAACGACCACGCAGGTGCTGTCCCTGAGGACCTTCTTAGCTGTTTCAAAGTTCTCAAGAAGTGCATGAACAAATTCGATTGTCTTGTCAACGAGATGCTTTACATCAAACAATTAACACCGAGTTTGAACGTGCAAACGGATTCTATCCGTGCTAAAGTATTTGTG